CTCTCAAACCTCCCTCCGTCATGTGAGAAAGTGAGGCTTTATTTATAGTGTTATGAGTGCAATTAATGCAAGAATATGAACCATTTTTATCGGACGGTCCGGATAGCTGTTTTTGATCAGATGGCGTTTGATGGACATTTGAGTGTCTTAACGATGCCAGAATTGAGCAATCTTGAGCTCGTTGGATTCTTCTTGTCGAGACGCTCGATTCGACTATAAACTCGTTGAATTCGACATTCATTTGATCTTTTAAAAGTGTCCAAAAATCTTTCAAAAATGATTTAATCGCATTATTTAATTGCTTTATCTGAGCTTGATTTGACTTGGATTGGACTAACCTTGATATCATTGGGTCATTCTCATCGAGTCAGTCAATTTTACTATAAGTTTGTTGAAATCGGAGCTCTGGATGATTTTTTATCAAGATTTGAATATTTCTTACTCAAAATATTTCCTCGAGATTCGTGCCTGAGGATGAAAATTTGTTGGCGGCGTATCACTACTAATAAAATGGATGAAATAATGAGGAATTTGAGCTAAAAAAATAGGTAAGAAAAATGAGAAAATGATCTTCTTTTTCTTACTCGGGACTCTTCTCTTATATTAGAATGGCCGCATCACTTTATAGATGGGTTGGCTTATGCATCACAAATTAAATATTTATTATATTCTATTTTTAGCAAACATAAATCATTAAAAAAAAAATTTCTCAATTATTGTTTGTTGGCGACGCCTTTTTGGATCAACTCGGTCATGAGGCGAGTTAATCTTCTTAGAGAAATAAATCTGATTGGAGAGCTCTGCCAAACTCAACCTTGGAATGACTTGAATTTCAATGGCATCTTATTGAGCTGCCTTAGATTGTTTTGACATGTGCAAATCATCGGAACTAGTTATTGGCTGCACCCCCCTAATTAAACCGATCGATCGATCGATTTAGCCTGGGCCATCTATCCGGTTCGATGGGTTATCCCCTTTAACATCTCGTACTCACCTTGGACCTGAATTATGAAAGTTCGGCCCTACAATTATATTGTCTCATAAGGTTTAGATTATGGTTTTAAAATGCTTTAGAATTGTTGAATCAAAATCCAGCGTAATATAATGTATTGAATTAAAAGGTCGCGTTATTAATTTAAAAGAATATGAATAAAATAAATTAAATTAACAAGGTTGTGTTATTAAAGTAAATGAATATGAACAATAAGTCATGTTAAAAATAAATTAAATTAAATTACATTAAATAGGTTGTGTTATTGAACTAAATGAATATGAATAAAATAAGTCTCAATTTATGAAAAATATTACATCAAGACTCCTGATATAGAGCTACTTTAGGAGTCCACTAACATACGGACAAGTGGCTTCAAGGAAACGCGCACGCATTTTTGTGATCCGGCCCGGTAACACATGAGAATATTCCTCATGTGTTATTTTGTGTTATTCAGGTGTTATTGTGGTGGTATTCATGTGTTATTGTTATTATAACACCGGGAATATTCCCAGAACACAATAACACATGAATACCACCACAATAACACCTGAATAATGTGAAATAACACGGAAGGAATATTTTCCTAGGCTAAATCGATTTTTTTTGTCACCTTCATGTGTCCCCATATCAGTAAATTCTGAACGTAGCCGTTAGAAGTCATTTGCCCTCAATTTATATGGAAAAGATATCCGTTGTAACATTCTTAATTCCAATCACAGCTTTATAATGTTTACTAATGTCAATTAATAAATGAATATTTATTACGTCAAAATCAAGGACTCTTCCAAGGCTGCGCATCAAAATGTCAGCTCTTTAATCATACATATTAATTGGTGAATAAATATTAATGAATGAACGATTATTTATTTTAGCAAGCATCAAAATTTGGGATCTAATCATTGTATTCCTTTATTTATTTAGCTTATCAAAATCTCATCTTACTTAATTTTGGATATTAAATAATGAGCGAATATTAATTTTTAAATGAATATTTTTTTCACATAAACAAAAAATTTTGAAGTCTGCCAAAATTTTGTTATGTTTGTCCATTAAGTAAAAATTAATTGCATTTACTTCTCTGTCAGTATAATTTGGATTATTAGGGTTTGTTTGAGACAGCTGTAAGAATAATTTATTGATAAGCTGATTAAAAATAATCTGTTGATAAGTTTGATATGGTAGCTATTACAAATTTTTATTTTTAAGAAAAAGTCTGGCTGTAGCCAGAAAACTGTCACCGCAACTAGATTGACGTGGTGTGAAAATGCTATTTTCAGCTTTTTAAAAACTCACAAGCTGTCAAAATGCAGTTTACCCAAACAGGTCAGGTGCACTTTCAAAATGCAACCGCACTAAATAAGCTGCCCCAAACATGCCCAAATAATTTGTAATTTTGTAAATTGTCAAAATACTCCCCTAATTGTTTACATGATTTCGTTGTAGTTTATAGAAGTGTCGTATTAGTCCCCCATATTTTTAAATATCGACTAAAATAGTCTCCATTAATAACTATATACAGTGAGGAATTTGAGGATTAATTTGAAAATTGTTTCAATTATGAGACTAAAACAATCCCACGTAAACACTCTAGAGTTTATAATTTCCAATGCAAAGACCTCGTCTTAAACTCTTTCTCGAAATGTTGAAAGAATTCTACTTATTTATACCATCAAAAATATTTCTTCTTTACATTATTGAGTGAAGATTATCGATCCTTCTATCTTCATAAAATCATATTCAACATTATCATATATTAATTCAGAGGTAAAATCTATGTTTGTACTAAGTGCCATCTTCTCTCTTACTTATAAAATTTCTCACAAATGTTGTTATGATGCATCCATCTACATGTGAGATGCATACATTTTAATCCGGCCATCTAAACTTCTTTGCTCTTGAAGAAGAAGCTAATTGCATGGCAATAAATTTTTTCATTTTATTTACTTCTCCTTTGATTATAGTGCTAGGGTATTTAATTAAATTATTATAGTCAGCAACAAATTACATTGCTTTTGATTACTAAACTTTAGAAGATAATATAATATATATATTTAAAAAATAATAATTTTGATAAACATGTTTTTTAGTTTTAGTCTTAGTATTTATAATATCTAATTAAATTTACATTAATCAGTAAATTAGTCTCTGATTCTCCTATTTTATCTCATAATTGTAGTATTAGTTGTAGTATTAAGGACACATCTTGAATTAAAAAACAGATTAAAAATCTAACTTTTAAATTTTATTTGCAAAAAAAGAAAAAACATAGGCTCTCCAATTGCACATAATTAATATTTTTAATATAATTATTAGTTTTATGATCATTTCTTATCTTTTCATCAATTTCTACTAATTTATCGCAATTTCAAAATCTTTCTATAGAAATTTTATATGGGGCCCATTTTCAGATATTCTTGAGCTCTTTTTTTCCCTACCAAATACATTTTATATTTAACTTGCATGATTTTAATGATGCGTAGTAATTTTATCTTCTCGAGTGCAATTTGTGAGTGATGGCTCTTTCAAATAATTCGGTCATGTGATGAGTTAATCTTCTTAGAGGAATAGATCTTATGGAGAACTCTGCTCGCTCGATCGTGAGATGAGTTGGACTACATTGACAAGTTATCGAGCGATCCTTCCTTGATTTCACTTCTATGTGCCATCATCATATGTTAGTTATTAGTTATACTCCCATAATTAAACCAATTGATCGGTTGAATTGATATAGCGTATCTATGAAGCCCACTCGACGAGTTCTCTCCTTATCTTTGAACCCAGTCTATGATTTTTTTGACCATACAATTATAAAATCCGCACACTCATATGCACTTTAATTCATCTTTTTCCATTACAAATTCTAGAATTTAAAAATTGACCATCTCGTTAAATCCTAGTTTATCATTATGAAATTCAGCCTTTTTAAAATCCATAACTTTATCTTTCAATTTATAATTTTCAAATTTAAGCTCTTTTCTTTAGATTCCGACACATTGTTTCCAAATTTTAGCTTTTTGAATGTATGATGGCCTCAGTAAATGCACATGCACAAATTTTACTCTAAAACTAATACTATGAATGATAAAATTTTAATAATGCATAGTAATTTTATTTCTTTTGAAAAAATTTATTGTACATATTTTTCCTTATTATTGTAAATTATCTAAGAAAAATGAATATTTCTGTAATTACCATGAAATTAATATATTAAATTTTACAATGAAAATCGTATATCAACTATATATATATATACATTATATATATATATATCATTTTATTCTAATTTTAAAGTTTTCACTATATTAAAATTAAGATTAAAATGTTAATTCGTATTTTGCATGTTTATGAAAATTTAATAGTTTAATTGTAACTCATAAATATAGGAATTAAGGATCTGTTTGGGATAGTTGCAGCTTATTGAATAATCTGTTGATAAGTTGATTAAAAATAATCTGCTGATAAGCTATGTGTGGTAGCTATTATTAATTTTTATTTTTATTTTTTTGGAAAAAGTCAGACCGTAGTCAGAAAGCTATCACCGCACCTAAATATATGTGGTGTGAAAACGCTGTTTTCAGCGTTTTGAAAACACATAAGTTGTCGAAACTCAGTTTACCCAAACAGAACTGGTGTGTTTTCAAAACGCCACCGCACCAAATAAGCTGCCCCGAACGAGCCCAAAGTAGTTAAATAAAATAGTTTGCATGCATACAACTCAAGTCATACGTTTTATATACAAACTAAGTATACCTTTTCAAAAATTAAAATAATTGTACTTTTAGGTGATATGAAAGATTTGCCTGGTTTAAATGTAAAAAATAAATAAATAAATAAATTTTAGATATGTTAATACATATGAATTGTGTGCTGTGTATGTAAATGACCCAAAAAAAAAATGGATGATCAATTTTTAAATAGCAATATTTCCAATGTAAGCTAATGAATGAATTTTATCTAATCCCAGCCGTTAATTTAATCTCGCAGCAAACTATCCCGAATCTCGATAATGGAAACAAAACCCCAAGAAACGGTCGAGTCTCTACTGGAAAGCTGGGCTCCTTTCCCTGAGTCAGCAGCATCTGTCGCCGCTTGGTCGAAGGAGAACGTACCCGACCGGCAGCCATCCGAATTGGATTCAATCCCTAAATTACCATCGCCGCCGCAACCGCCAGCTTCTAACGAGTTATCGGCGCAGGAAAATGCATTCAGATTATGCCGGAATTTCTTCGACGCCGAGTACGGATCCGACAAGGAAGACTTGGAATTCGACGAACTGGATGATGGGAAGAGTTACGATTTCTTCAAGGGGCTTTTTGATGAAGCAGCCGATTTGAGGGATCTTTATCTAAGGGATACGGCAAAGGGGGATTTCTACTGCCTGGCTTGTAGGGCGATTGGGGAGAAGCTGTGGAAGAAGTTCTTCGGATTGTTTGCGGTCGCCCAGCACGCCAACTCTGTTTCTAAGACGAGGAACACATCGGTGCATCGCGGTTATGCGAGAGCGATCTGCGAATTACTTGGTTGGACAATTGATCCGTCCAGGGGTGTTCTTTTCGGCAATAATGCAGTTGACACTGAGCATCAGGTGAGTTTGAATTTTTAATCGGTTCGATCTGATGTACGAGTTTGATTTATGTTTTTTGTGTTGTTTGGCATGATTCTATACTGATTTCTGATGACCAGGATGAATTAGCTCTGAAGTTATCCATGGAGAATGCTAAAGAAGATGCCATAGGTTGTTCTTAGAGATGATTGTAGATTTCTCTTGAGGAGCAATGCTTCGTGATGATTATTCTACAATTTGTTTGATTGGCTAGCTTTAATGGAACATTAGAATGTGAAATATTTTTCTCAGGATAATTATCTATTAGAACAATAGCTAAACTGTTTATGTTGGCTTGCTTCAGTCTTCATTGAGCCTGCTATTATTTGGTTTTTTGATGTATTAAATTTACTGCATAGTTGATACAGCAATTTTGATGCTTAAAAAATGTGATGGTATTAGAGCTTATTTATGTGATTATGTTGATCAAATTTAGTGTTAGAATCTTGATCTCTTCAGTGAATCACATTTAAGAAACAGAGAGTAATGGAGCGAGGGCGCAGTAGAGAATTGGTTCTCTTACGTATGACTGATTAACCTTCTATTATAGAAATGACCTTTATATTTATAGGCAATGAGATATAAAGTGATAAATTATATGTTTGCCCCTACTTTTATTGGGACTTTACAAGGTATTTTAGGCATAAAAAATAAATGAGGCTAAGGCTCGACTACCCTATCCCTCGGTCGGATGAGATCTGTAATCCTCAGATCTCCAAGGTCGTTCGATTGATTATGTTGAGTCAAGGAAACATGTCATCTCTTTGGTCATTATGTCGTCCAGACTTCGTTTTGTTGGCTTGAGTCAACCAGTCAGTTGTTTCGGTTCGGTTGTCGACTATGGACCCTTGGATGAGAAACTTATGTTGTGGGGATGAAACTAGATTGTCAGGCAAAGGGTAAATCATCATAATCAAACAAATAGTCACACCTTTGACAAGAGATTCATCTGGAGTGTTCAAGGGGTGTTTTAGTGATGATAACTTTAGGTCTTCTGAAGATTTTTGGAGACTCCTTACTAATTTGGACGAGAGTTTGATTGGTTCCTTCTCTCGATTTGGTTGGTCTCGATCTTGACTTGGGCAGCCTTTGTTTGGCTGGCTCCGAGTCTTGCTCCGAGGTAGATGTAGCTGGTCAAGTAAATCCTTTGGTCTTCTATTAACATGTTTCCTGATCTCCTTTCGATGGATTATCCTTGACCATACTTCTATCTTTTAGTCCGTTTAATTCTCTTGAGATTTGTGCCGATATATTTCTATCATATATAATTACTTCCTTGATTCTTTTGCTTCTTGAAAATCATGTTGGGATAAATATAAGAAAATTTAATGCAAAACATGGATTCATTTTTTCTCGTATTTAGTACTTTATGTTTGAATAAAGATGAGTTTTTTATTGATTTTTGCAAAAAGTTTGTTTGACTTCACTTTTTTATCGATTTTTGTATTGATGTGATTCGAGTTCTTGAAATTGACTTGTGGCTTAGCAGTGGCATTTGAACTTCCACAGGCCCTTATATAAGGCTTGAGAGTTGGATTTTTTCCGTGCATTCAGTTTCTCTTCTTCTTTTCCTTCGATCGATTATTCATGTTCACTCTTCTAGCTTTTGCACGAATGGCCAACAAATATTCTCTAAAGCTCTTTAGGAAGCTTCCGTGGTGGAGCGATCCACTCTGACTTTGGTCGACATTGCATCACTTGAGAAGCCCAAATGGTTAGCTCCCAACCATAAGCTTAGGCTTTGGGATTGAAAATAGATTTAACCGCTAATGAATCTACTCCAACTATAATCAGTTTATGGTTCTCAGTTCCCAACATAACAGAAAACCTTTTTATATCACAAAAATAAAAGTATCAAGTTTGTCATAATTTTAGTTTTATAAAGCAACGCTAGAGTCAGGGGATAAGTAAAAGAGAGTAATAATCCACACTGTTAATTTTGGTTCCATCAACATAAATGTTTACCCGGTGGTCCGTTTGATATCATTTCTTAGCTATTATTTCTGAAAATATACTTGTTTAGTATAATTTTTATGTGTTTTTAATCTTTTTATTAAAATAAATCAAGTTATTTTTAGAATAAATAGAAGTCTCGCCTAAAATATTGAAAAGTGTTTTAGGCAAACAACACCTCAAAAAATTGATTATCTTTAGCACCAACTAGACCACACACAATCAATTCAAAGAGAAACCTCCCAATCAACACAATTCACCCAAACAGGCACTACTCTCCTCATCCTAAATGATAAATATATGGAAATCTGTCTAAATTCTAAGAATGATTGAATCCCAATACACAACTACAACTTCCCTTACTTAAAGAATCATTAAACTAACCAAAAAAAAATAACAACATAAAATATAACATGGTAAAAAATTGTGACAAATGGAACCAAAAAGTTACAAAACATGAATCAATAAATTAAAGTAGGGAAATTTGTGCAGCCAAATGGGAAAAAAATAAAAAAATAAAAAACGATGAAATTTGTCACTTCTACTTGGTGTTGGAAGCGAAATTGTTGTGAGCAGCAGATACATACATTAGGCTCTGCAATCCCGGCTTTAGATCCATGTTATAGAACTTCTCATACTCTCTTCTGTCCCCCGCTTTCTTCTTCACCTCCACCACCACAAGTGAAGGAGTTAGCTCAAATATCTCTGCGGCTATCGTCAATGGCCCCTTCTCTCCCTCTCTGGTCCCTTCCAAGCTCACCATGAAGTCCTTCTTCCTCACACTGAAGCTCACCAACGTCGCAATCTCCTCCAATTTTGATATAATCACAGGCACGGGCTCCCCGGATATAAACCTTGCCTCCTCCCCGCTCTCTTCAAACAATCCAGAAAGATTAAAACTTTGCGAGAAGGATATGATGTCGAATGCATTCAGGCTCGCTGGTCTTGGAACCCCCATCATCTGATTGTTATTAGAGACGGAAATGGCCGCCGGGCAGGAGGCGACAGAAGTATCGGAATCGCAGCCAGAATCGGAGGTCTCATCATGCCGCTGCTGGGATCGCGGAGTCTCCGTGGCATTTACAGTCGGCGAATCAACAGTTTCATCTAGGCTGTGCAGCTTGTCATTCTCGATGTAGAATCGAATATGGCGGAACCCCTGTTTGAACCAGACATTCTCCATGATTTCAGGAATGGTGATCCGCGACTGGGGATTCGTGTCCAGGAGGCGAAAGAGAAGGTTGCTGAGATCGGTGGAGAACCATTTGGGGCATCGAAATTCCCCTTTATAGATTTTGCGGTACATTGCCATGATGTTCTGGTCGTGGAAAGGGAGATAGCCAGCCATAAGCACAAAGAGGATGATCCCGCATGACCAGACATCGACGCTGGCCCCTTGATATCCCTTCCTGGTGAGAACCTCCGGCGCGACATACGCCGGAGTTCCGCAAAAGGTGTGGAAGAGCCCGTCCAGCCGAATCTGATCAGAGACCGCGCTGAGCCCAAAATCAGAGACTTTGAGATCCCCATTTTCGTCAAGGAGGAGGTTCTCCGGCTTGAGATCTCGATGGAAGACGCCGCGCGCGTGGCAGAAACCAACGGCCGATATCAGCTGCTGGAAGTATCGGCGAGCGGCGTCCTCCTTCAGCCGGCCTTTGGCGACTTTGCTGAATAGCTCGCCTCCGCATACGTATTCCATCACAAAGTATATCTTGGACTTGCTGGCCATTACCTCCAGGAGATGGACAATGTAGGGATGGCGAACGCGGCGGAGAATGGCGATCTCGCGCTTGATGTGGGCGACAAGACCGCTCTTTAAAATGCGCTCCTTGTCGAGGACTTTAATGGCGACGGATTCATCGGTCTTCAGGTTCTTGGCGTGGAAGACTTTGGCGAATGTTCCTTGCCCCAGGAGCTTCAGCAGCTCGTAACGGCCGAGGATGAGAGCCCCTTGAGTCTCCTTCTTGTTAGTCTTCATGGCCGGCAGCGGTGGCTGGCTGACCGCCGCCGGAGGAGCCAGAGCTCCTCGGAAGGGAGACGCTTCGCTCTTCTGCGTTTAATTATGGTTTTAGGGGAGGGGAGGGAGGGAGGAGGCTGGCTCTAAAGGACGCGGTAGGGGAACCGGAGATGACGGAGCCGTTATGGTTCTGCAGCTTTGATGGTCGGAAATTCTATAGAATCTCGGGAGCGCCGTCAGGGGGAGCCGTTATGGTGTGCGGTTATCGTCGAGTGGTGTGCATCGAGTTTTTACCATTTTTGTTTCGAAATAAAGGGAATGTATTTTTCGTGCTGTTCGATTCTAGAAATAGTTTTTTTTAGAAAAAAAAAATAATTTTAACTTTTTTAAGGACAATTTAGCTGTAAGTTTTTAGGCTTCTTAGTAAAAAATTAGTGATTATGGGCCCTTTTTTGAAAATACTGTCTAACCGTTTGGTTTGTGCGTTTTTTAAAATGTTGTCTGCCGCGTTTGAGTTTTAACATTAAACGCAGGCAGCGGATCGACTCTCGTAGTCAACCCACGGGCAACGCACAAGCTGCCACAAACAGACTCTTTTATATCTTTAATATCACAATATAAGAACTGCCGAATAATTTATCAATTATAATTTAGCATTTCAGAAAATAATAATTATTTTTAAAATTTCAAGCATAGGGTGTGAAATAAATTCGATGCATTTGGAAACTTTATGATATTTAATTGATTGTAAATTAAATTGCTGGAGTTAGATGATTTTTATAGTGAATCAAATTTTATATGATCTAATAAAAATTATAAACCCTAAATCATAAATCATCAATGGTAAATCATAATCTCTAAACTCTAAATATAGACCATCTTATGATGGAAATAAAATGATTGTTGAGGCATTAGAGAAGTTATCATGAGATTATTACATGTCTAAGAGGTTATTCTTCTCATGCTAGGGGAGAAATAGAAACCAAAGAAAGCTAGTGTTGGCTTTAGCAAAGATGATGAATGTTAAATTTATCATTTCTCTTGACCCAAGCGATCATTATTATTCTGTGATAAGCTTGTAGCCTTTGAGCAATGTACTGTGTTTATGATAAAATAGTTGAAACTCATAATCCCTTAGCTTGGAACAAATCAATTAAATATTATATTTGAGCGCATAAAAAACTCACGATAGTTTTTTTTAATGTTTAACCGTTCACATTGTTATATTTTTTTTTTCTGTCTTGATGTTTATTTGAGCCCAGTATCCACCAAATTTAAAAGTATTTAATTATATCTTGTATCAAAGGCTTAGGCCCTGTTTGGCGCAGCTTATACATGTATGTGTGGTGGCGTGTTCAGAACGCCGCCCACGCGTTTGTTTCGCGCGTTCGTTCGGTGGCGTTCTGAACGCAGCGTCCCGCGGATCCATTTTTCTTCATTAGCCGGATCGCGGGGTCTCAGCTGCGTTCGGCGTTGGCTGTTGGCGTTAGGACTCGAATTCCTTCTTTTTCCCTTGGTTAGCATCACTCTCTGTTGGCGTTAGGGCTCGATTTCATTCTTTTTCCCTTCGACATATACTCTCCGGTAAGATCTACGATTGTTTGTTGTTGGTTTTTTTCGAGATACGCTCTGGATTTGTAAGTTTTTTCGAGATATGCTCTGGATTCGTGAGTTTTTTGGATCGGTGAATTTTTTTCGGTTCTTCCCCATATGTCTGCTTCTATTGCTTTGGATCTGTGAGTTTTGCAAAAGTAATAATGAGTTTTGCAAAAGTAATAAGGGAGTGCAACTGCAATACCCAACTAATACCGGTAAGATCTACGATTGTTTGTTGTTAGTTTTTTCGAGATACGCTCTGAATCTGTAAGTTTTTTCGAGACTTTCGAGATATGCTCTGGATTCGTGAGTTTTTTGGATCGGTGAATTTTTTTCGGTTCTTGCTTTGGATCTATGAGTTTTGCAAAAGTAATAAGGGAGTGCAACTGCAATACCCAACTAATAGAAGTATCACTGATGGTATACTTTTACATATATTCGGATCACCACTCAGATCATTGTCAAGAAGTCTCTACAATGTTATATTATTCCTGGTTAACACCATCTTTTTCACCTTTTTCTTAAGGTTTTTTCTTGATTTGACATCTGTCTCGCAGAACTCCCATTTTTTACTTGCTTAACCCTTATTACAAGTGTTATATCAGGTGTGCACACCATAACCTATATTAATGATTCAATTGTTAACGTATAAGTAATTTTGGTCATATTTTTATCTTGTTAGTTTCAGTTTTTGAGAGTTTAAAGTGGCTTACTAAGGAAGTGTTTACATGTTTGTTGTAAACTTGTTCTTTTAACATAATAAACTCGTGCAACACTTTCACAATGTCAAGTAATCGGAAATAGCTTCAATGTACCACTTATTTGGTCTTGAGCATAGTGCTTAGATTCTTGGCAGTCATCTATGCAAAACTACTTTCACAATCACTCTTTCAATTTATTGGTTTTACTAATGTTTATTCTCTTCAAAAAAGGATGTATATGATTTTGTTGCATCACTATTGACTGATACAATTTGGATTTGGAAAAGGAGTATCTGTATTGAATGATACAATTTGGAACATTCTCGCATCTCTATGTCCCGATTTTGTTGGTTCAAATCGTTTTATGTATTTGGGCTTTCTCGTTTGTAATGCATTTGTTCTTGAGCATAGTGTTTTGATTCTTGGCAGTCCTCTATGCAAAACTCCTTTCACAGTCACTCTTTCAATTTATTGGTTTTACTAATGTTTATTCTCTTCAAAAAAGGTTGTATATGATTTTGTTGCATCTCTTTTGAATGATACAATTTGGATTTGGAAAAGGAGTATCTATATTGAATGATACAATTCGGAACATTCTCTTCATCTCTATGTCCCGATTTTGTTGGTTTGAATCGTTTTATGTATTTGGGCTTTCTCGTTTGTAATGCATTACTGCGACGTTGTTTGTAATGCATTACTGTTCCATGGTCTTTCAATTAATGTTTACCTTGCAATTCTTTTCGATGGGTTGTAATTGTAGTTTATGGTTGTTGAATGGATTTGCAAAAGAACATGAATGTCTCACATCTTTATGGTGGGTTGAATTTGTTGTTTACGGTGGGTAGAAAAATGGATTTCTAGTTCACTTATTGCATCAAAAAAATGGATATGGAGTTCATGTTGGGTAGCAAAATTGATTTGCAAAGAAGCATGATTGGCTCACATCCTTATGGTGGGCCGTATTTGTATTTTATTTATTGCCCTATTACATATTCTATGGCTCAGCATTTGATAAATGACTCACTTTATACTTTTAGCATATGCAACCTTCTCATGTAATAATTTGTAGGATTTTGGCTATGTCCCGCCGATGTGATGCATTTAGCAAATGGGTATATGGTGTTGAGCCAAAGAAATGAAAATTGTGGTGTAATTTGCCTGCGGTGTAATTTGAGACAGGCCAGCTCATTGACAATTTTTTTTGAGATTACGGATAATCCTAGCTTTGTTGGAATTTAAATTGAAGGACATGTATTAGAATTTTCATATTACACATGTATTTTATATTTGTAGTCCTCTCCAGTGAGAAATATAGCTTTGTACGATTAAAAATTTGATAATAAAACATGTTCGATGTCTTACTGTGGATGTAGGTCTTTGACCGAACCACATAAAAAATAGGTGTGTTTTTTTTATTCTTAGCACTTTTTTAGCATTTATTTGCACAATTGTTGGGTAGTTGAGATAATTTGATTATTATGTGATACTTGCAATTATTTGTATAGTTCCACAATGGGTAAGACATCTGAAGGGGGTCCCTCTGCAATGTGGGATAAAGAAGTCACCAATATATTTTGTGATCTATGTTTAAAAGAAATTGAGCCGAGGAGCAGGCCTACAACGTACTTTAATAAGGAAGGCTGGAATAATATTGGTATGAGGTTCAAAGAACTGACTGGCAGAGATTACGACAAGCTTAAATTCAAAAATAAATGGGACCAATTAAAGAAGGAATGGAAAATATGGAAGGAGTTGAAACGTGGATCTACAGATCTGGGTTGGGATCCGATTAAACGGACAATTGATGCTCCCACTGAATGGTGGACTGAGAAATTGGAGGTAATTATATATGTACTCTGTTATTTCTTTGCTTTTCAAATTGGTTTTCATTTGTTTTTGTAATTTTACTTGCTTAACTATTCGCTTTAAAATGTTATGTCATAAGCGGTACCTGCAGCAAAAAGGTATAGACAGTGCGAGATTGAGCCGGAATTTGAAGAAAAACTCGACATAATGTTTAAATGTATTGTCGCTACTGGAAAATTTACTTTCAACCCAAGTGAAAGTACCTTTTCAGGGATGCCAGATGAATTTACCCCTGAACCATTGACACCTGATGAAGATGTGTGTAGCATTAATCAGAGAGATACGAGGGACTCTAGCACAATAAAGAGGCCCAAGGTTGCTAAGAAAAATAAAGAGAAAAAACATGTTTTGAACACCTCCTTCGATCGTTTGATTGAAGCATTTGCAGATCTACCTATCTCTGATGCAAGCATATTAACTGTCTGAGGCTTTTGCTTTCTATTCCTGAAGTTGTTGCAGATAGACGATTTCACGCACAGTGTGTGAAAAAACTTGATGATTCAACTAGAATGAAAATATTCATGGCGCTTGAGCCTGAAATGCGTCTTGAATATTTGCGGGTTTTGTTCGATGAATGATATTTTTTATGGATTCATTATGTATCAGCACTAATTGAACTTCTACTTATGTTGTTTTATTTTTAATATATGTTTGTCATTCTATATGTGTCATTCTACATGTGTAATCTTTCTATATGTAGCAAATGAGAATTTTTATTATTAGCACAATTGTTAACATTTTAAATTGTTGGATGGTTGAATATTAATGTTTATATTTTAAATCATTTAGGATGGATCCGCAACGTGAA